AAGGGTATTTTTTTTTCTTTTTGTTTTCTCATTAAATGAGAAGATTCATATTTTAAGAAAAAAAAAATTAAACCATCGAAACACAAATAATATGATAATAAGAATTTTCAATAATAAATTTTAATATTTAAAAATAAGATAATAAACTTTTTGATAATTTTTTTTTGTTCTTTGATTGTGTTATGACTTATTTGTTATTTATTTTAAAATAAATATGATCAAATATGTATATTTACATATTTTCCATATATACCTACATATGTATATGCCAGTATTTTATGTAGGCATGTATGTACATAATATGTTATCAAAATAATAATATAAAATAATATATTCAATGAAATTTGCATACATATTAATATAGCAACAGTGGCATTATACAGTAGCAGGGCAGTATTTCCTGCGTTAATGATACTATCATTTCTCATAATATTATATGTATTTACCATATTTTAACGTACATGTACATTCGTATGTAAAATAAGACAAAATAAATATAATTAAACAAAAAAAAAACAACAAAAAAAAACATCCATTTTTTTAATACCCAATCACATTGCGCTGTTGAACTTTTTTTTTATTTTAATTTTTTTTGCTGTATTTTTAATTTTAATTTTTATTATCTGTTATCTCAAAATATTTATAATATAAAACTATATTGATTTCAAAAATATACATACAATATATATATATGTATATATACATATATTATGCATATACATATATGTATGTACATAATACTCACTTCTATTATTGTATAAAATTTATAATATTTTAATATTATTTTATAGAGAAAAAAAAAAACAAAATAGAAAAACATTCATCATAAGATTTGAAAAAACAAACTTAATTGTAACAATTTTTTTTATAGAAAAAAATAAAATATTAAAAAAGGGAGATATAAGATTAAGATGAATTTTTCAATTCAGAAACAAAATTATAAACATATGTACATACATGTTACATATGTTCATATATTATAACATATATACATGTAATATCTGATGACCTTTCAGTTTGTTATACTATATAACATATTGCGATCTTTCTTTAACATTTTCTGAAATTACATGCAGTATAGGCTAAGTATAAATACATACACATGCATTTATAAATATTTATACTATTTTATACAATATTATTAAATATTACTTACGTTTATAAATTAAAAATATATATACAATACTGTATTAATAAGTTATGTATATATGTGTGTATGTATTATTGTAATGAATGTGTACAAATAATGTACATATATTTGGTTGGTTATATTAAAGCCCGTTTAATAATATTTAATAAGTTTTGAAGATTTTAATCAAAACAACTCTAAAAGGTACAGGCGAATTAATTATTTTATTATAAACATCAAACACCTTAATTTAATAATTATTTGATTATTTCAGCTTAATATGAAGATACGTATATGTATATACATATGTACCATGTATATACATATTATGTATCATGCATATACATATCATACACATGTATATACATATTTTGAAATTCTTATTTTCTTAATTTAAATTTTACAAAATGGATTTTTATTAATCAGGAATTTACATTTATATATTACTATATTTAGATTGTACATATGTATATGAAATTCCCCACCTGCCAAAAAAAAAAAATTATGTATGTTCGTGTTTATAAGCAAATATCAATTCAAAAGTATTTTTGATGTAATCGACAAAGTTCCAAAAGAAATAATAATAAACTTGAGTCGAACAATTCTTTGTAAAGTAGCATTTTTCCCTTCAACAAGTGAAAACACTGCTTTTAAGAACAATCTATGTAATACATTATTCAAATTTTCTCCATTCACATCGGAAAATATTTCGAAGATTTAGGATGAGACAAAGAAAGTAAAATTTAAAGAGGCGTAAACGTAATAGTTCCACTATTAGGTTAATCGGGGGAGTTAAGAACAATAATTATATTTTTTGATGGTGACATTTAACGTTAACTTTCAAAAAATGATATTTTAATGAACTTGATGGGCTCTTGGAGGAGGAGGAGGAGGAGGGGGAGGAGGAGGAGGAGGAGGAGGGGGAGGAAGAGGAGGAGGGGGAGGAGGAGAACGAGGGAGAGCAGGAGAAGAAGCAGGAGGAGGATTAGGAGGGGGAGGAGGAGGAGGAGGAAGAGGAGTTTCTAGCAAACATCTATTTGGGTATAAAATTTCATCTTTCTATCTTAAAAAGTATTGAAATTTTTTAAACATACACAAGTACGGAAATGAAGCTAACAAACAAATTTTTTTCAGATTTTTGTAAGTTGTAAGAATTTAAAGCTGTAATAAAGTTGTAAGAACTTGTAATTAAAGTTTTGAATTTCATTATTTCTAAAAGAAAAAAAATTTTAATTTTCTTTACATCTGGTATTTGCCTGTTATTTGTATTTATAGATAAATAATTAACTAAAAAAATTATAAATTATAGAATAAATATAAATTAAATTCAATTAATTATAAATTATGAAAATTGCTTAGATTTTTATTTTGATTATTTACGAAAAATTTTCATTTCGGAATTCGATAGTTGCAGTATATATATACGATATATTATATAATAATAAGAAATATTCTTATGTTATCAAACGGCATTTACTAATTTCGTTATTGCTTATAAATGAAAATTATATTTTTTATAATTATTGAAGATAATTTTCATTGCATAAAACAGGAAAAAAAAGAAAATAAAAGATTTGAAATTTACGATTTCATTAATTTTTTAAATAATTAATCTTGTAGAGTTGATAATGTCATAAAGCCGTGAAATTTGCCTGGCTTTGGTGTGTTATATGCCTATGTATTTTTAATCTATTAAACATTTAAGAGACTCTAGATTCAGTTACTTGTCAATATTTTTTTTATATCAATATTTTAAAAGACTAAAAAGGATACCTAAGTCTAAGTTTTTATCTTAATTTGAATAATTTTACTAAAATTTTGTTTATATTAAATTTTGTATTACATGAATTTGATCAAAATATTTAGTAAAACATAGTTATAAAGTTATCACCTTGACCAATCATTTTCCTTGTTATTTAAAATAAAGGAATTTATTTTAAATAAATTATAAAATCTTTAAAAATAAATTATTTTTAACATTAAAACAATCTAATATATACTTAGCGCCTCAGTAATAACAAATATACATAATTAAATTAGTAACATAATTTTTTCCTGAATGATTCTTGAGTTGAGTTGATTAAATTATAAAAAAACTGATTTGTTTTATCATGAAAATAATAATTATAAAAAATGATGTGTTCTATCATGAAATTTTTTTTCTACTAGGTGAAACAATCTCGAAAGACGAAGAAGGACAGTTGGGGGGACGTGACTCCTACCCTAAAAAATCACCTAAACTCTGAAATAATAAACTGGTCCTACAGACCAACTATTACCTCTGCGCTAACTTGGTTTTTCCGTACAGGAATTAAATACCTTCATATTGTTTTAATTGGTTAATAGCCATATTGTCATATTGGTTTAATGAATGAAAATTAGATAAAAATAATTTTATGTTTCTTCAAAATTTCAAGATTATTCAAAATTTTTGCAAGGTTAATGTATTTATTGATCAAAGTTTAATATATTCCTTATATGTAAACTAATAGTATAGACTTATATGTAAATCTTATCTCGTTACCTCATGAAAATTTCTGGCGTTCGAAAACTTATAAACGTACAAGCAGTTATTGAATCGTAAAGTAAATAATTATCAACAGAATTTACTTTAGTGTCACTAAACTTAATAAAGATTTGGTCGCTCTATTTCCTTATTAATCCAATATTGGCTAAAAATTCTTTAAATTATCTCAAAATTTCGAAAATATGAAACACTGTTATCTTAGAGACCTCAATGATACATACATGAAAATAGTCTTTAAATTATTATGTATGTTTTTACATTTTTTTTTCAATCGGATTTTTTTTTTTATTTAATAAGAAATGTTATAAAAGTTTATCAATTATTTAACCTAAAATTCTATGATTTGTTTATACATATTAACATTACGGATGTATGCTGTATACACATGTATGTATGTATGCATAAAAAGTTGATGGTTTAGTATTTGGTCAGAACTTTTTAAAAATGAAAAAATGTATTTTTTATATATGTATATACATATGTATATTTCGTTAAATTTAAGAATAAAGAAAAAACAAATAAAAAAAAAACAAATTTATAATATGTATATTCGGGGAGATAAATAGTTTGGTTGATCAAAGTAATTATGTATATACGATGATCATTAAAGCTTATAAATTTTACGAATACTCCATTTCTTATAGATAACAAAACATATGCTACTTGTAAATTTTTGTTTCTCAAGACGAATCTCTCTCGTTTTTATTTTATTACAATTTTTAATAATTATGTATAAAAATTTATAATATACCTAATATGAACCTTCATAACATATTTGCAATAAAAGCTGCTTCAACCTTAAATATTTGTTAAGTAGTAAGATAAAAAAGTAAACAGATAAAATTTGATCATTCGTGGTGGGCGCCCATATAAGTTTTCACCTACATATGTATCTATCTACACAACATTATTTAATGTATAGGGATGCAAAAAAAATCTGTTAAATACAATAAGGACGTGTTTTTGTAGTTAGGGTGGTGTCTATCTCTCAATTTTTGTAGGGGCGCATAAGTATATAGTACATTATGTATTATATTTTTTGAATAGAAGGAATTCAAAATTTACTTAATTAAATATGTTGCTAAATTTTAGTCTTTTTTGTCAAAATAAAATTTCACCTGTTTACTTAAATATTCTTATTGTTATATTTTTTTTCTGTATTATAATTTTTTTAAAAAGCTATTACTTTAATTATTATGAGCTGTTAGATGCAAAACTAAGGTATTTTCTAGTCAAATAAACAAACAAAAAAAAATATGTTACAAGCAACATATACATGCATATTATGTACAAAACGAAAACAAATCATCGTTATAGATATGTAAATAGGTGGAAAATACTTACTTATTGGATGCTTATCAGGATTCGTCAAAAACATTTCTTGGAAATATGGACTACAAATTGCTAAAACAATTTTATGTGCATGTAACAATTTTCCATCACATGCTAGTGTAACATCAATAAGGTCACCCCGATCATAAAGATTTTGAAACCCGGTTGTTATATTATCCGTAAAATTATTCCAACATAAAGCAAACTCATCATCCATTTTGGCCGAATAACTTAATTTAAGATAATTTTATTTATAATCACTTTAATTAATATTTTAACATTGACTCTTTATCATCTATAAACTACACATAACGATTTTGTATTATATTAAATATTTTAAACTTCTTAAAATAGATTTTTATTAAATGTTCTTTTTTTTTATATAAAAATATAAACTGAACTCTTCTTCTACCTTGCAGATCTAAGAATAAAATGACAATGCATTGACATTAACTGAATCATTTGAGAAATGTCAACAAATTTTATCAAAACAAACAAAAAGCAGAAAACTGACATGTATAACACAATGGCAGCTTTGAAAAATAGATAACGTCTAGGTTTCAGGGTTACATAGATCCGTCATTTTCATTTTTAAATTGCTTACAATATATGTATTTTATATAATTTATATCAATGCTATCAAAAAAGAGATTGTGTTTTAAATTAAATTCGAATAATCATTTATCTGTATAGCTTTGATACAAATATTTTTTATCTAGTTTTTTAAGATATCTTGAACAATTCAAAATAGTTTCAGAAAATAATCTTAATCAACTTAAATTATTCTCATTGATAGATGAAACTTATTTAATGCAAAATTTTTAAGATGTCCTGTTTAATAGAATTTACATTTAAAAAATGATTTGATTCACAAATTTTATACAACGACATTGGATTCCGACAAAATAATATCAAGAAGTAGGAAATCTGGTATAATTTTTTGAAATTTTCCAGATTTTTATCTGTAATATTATAATTTATAGAATGTGACTAATTCTACGTTGTGAATTATCGACATTTTCTATTTAGAAAATATTTACTGTGAATGGTTATTATTAAAATTTCCCTTTTTCTTGACAGATTCAAAAAGGGCAATTTAATAGTAAAGGTGGTAATCAAATAAAAATAATTTTTTTAATTCTTGATTTAAGTAAATCGTGTGAAGTACTTATAATAATAGTTAAGCGGATGTCAAAATATTACAAATAAGAGCTAAATTGATGTTTAGTAAAGTAAATAGTAAACAATAAGGTTAAACAATGTGTAATTAATAAAATTCTAAACATTTTTAATTATATCGTGGAAATATTTTGTAAGAATATTGAGAATATCGGGAATATGAAAAATGAAAAGTACCACAAAATGAGTAGATTTGGTGTAATAGGAAAATTTTTACATTGGGGACCACTTACTGCTTTAGGTACTATTATTTTATTATCTTTTACATTTCTAACTAATATTTAAGATATATCTAATAAATTTGCGTTTGATAAGCTAATCGAAGTCCATTGATGGTTCAATTTAAAAATAAAAAAGAATTGCCTTCAATTCCTTGTGTAATTTTTTATGGCGTTAGTATTTTCTAAATAATATTCAAGTCAAATTACATGTTTATAGAAAAAGTTTATTTTTTATATGAATATGTGTAATTTTCATAATACAATGGGAAACTACTGAATTAAATCTTACTAAACAAATTGTTAACAATTGAAATAAAGTATTTCTTTTTGTTAATTTAAGGAATTTTGCTAATTTTCTTATAGGTACATTTATGCAATTATTAAGTTAATGTGTAAATCACCTACCGCCACCTATTTACCTATTCCCTTTTGAAAATCATAAGGTTTTATTAACTTATGAATGAAATAATTTAAGATTTTCTATAACATTATGAATGACTATTGCAAGGATTTCATTAATAAATAAAAACATGACGTAGGTATTCATTAAACATATTAGTAACTACTAAATTGGGTGTGTTTATTACCGGTAAATAACATCAAAAAATTCTACAACCTTAAAAAATAATTATAATGTATCAGTCTTTTCAGCATTTTTAAAAAATATTTAACTAGATCGGTAGATATACTCGTAGGTTTATTGGTGAAAAAAAGTACATAATAAATTTAGTAGATTAGGAATGAATATTAAATTTTATGCTATTGAAGGTATTACAGGGTACTTACAATACTTTTGATTTTATTTAATTATACTTAAATATATTACGCGTTTTTGTTTAATTTTATCAAAATATACCAACCCACTACAATGTAACTCCCGATTTCTCTTAAAACATTCAATTTTAAAGTGCGTTGGAAAAATAACGAAATATATAAAAGGGATGTATAGTAAATTTTTGGCGCTCTAATTTCCTCCCCCTTAGAGTGTATATAAAATTTGGCGTTTTAATATGTTTTTATTGCGTGACATTTTTTAATTATTCAAATGAAAATGTTTTTACTAAATATAATTTATTGCATCTGAGACCGAGTCTCTGTTTTTGCTTAAATAATTAAAATTAAGGTGAAGGTTATTGGTTGAAAATAATGTAAAATTTAAAGAATTATTCTATATGCATAATATGTAGAAATGGCAAATTGGTATACACATATCTATAGAATATGAGACAGGCATCTACGCACCCTTTTTCAATAATTACAGTTTAGTTTTTCAAGTTGTAACATAATTAAAGGCAAGTTTATTATGAATCTCAATATGTTTTAGAATTTTTTAAATATATAAAATATAAAAAATTAAAACAATGAGTTGAAAGTGAAAATTTGTGGTTGTTGAATCTTAGCAGTATAATTTCTAGATTACAAGTCTAAAAATTTTAAAACTGTTATGTCCAGTAAGAATAGTTCTCTACTGGAACCTGGGTAGTTATCTTGTTTTATTTTTTGAGATTCAGTAATTCATTACAGTACCAGTAAAATTGTGGTACTTTAGACTGCTTTCTTTTTCTTGTACATTCTACGATTTGATATATGTATATATTTTCTTTTTCTTTTACTTTATTTTACCTATTATAAAAATATAAATTAAAATAATTTTGCCTTCACCTTCATTATATAATGTATTTAAAATTTACTATAAAAATCAACATACGAATATTCACAATAGAAATTAAGAAAGTAATTGAATAAATAACTAATAAGATAGGGGGTAAATTGGAAGGTGGACATTTAAAAATGATTGCGTGCTAAGATTATTTTATTGAGCGGGAAATCCTTTTTTTTAGCTTTTATAAAAGTTATTTTTAATTATATCATTGTGGTAAAGTAAGAGTTATGAATTACGACTAAAATAAATAGTAGATTCATAGTAACTGATTTGTTTTATTTTTTTTTTAATTTTTGGTCAAAATTAAGTGAAAATAAAATATTATAATAATTAAGTAGACTATAAAAATAAAGAATAACTTAAACTTACCTCTAGTTTTTTAATTAATGAAAGTCAGTTAGCAAATTTGTTAGTTACTTTTAGTTTTTAATGCATTGTGAGTATATAAAACTGAATGTTTTATGATATTTTGAGCCAAAAATTAAAGAAGAGAAATTATAAGAAAACTTGAAATTTGAAGAAATTTGAAGAAATTTAAGTAGACAATTTATAGATTTAGTTTTTTTTTTGTTTTAAAATGAAATTATTTTTTATTTAACTTTAGATAATTTTTGAATAATATTAGCATTGCAACGTTTTTTTTTTTAAATTACTTATCTTTGTATCTTAAAAATTTTTATATAATATTTTTGACCTATTCTATTTGTGTTTTTTAGGAATCATAAAATGTGTGACCATTGTTACATTGTATATGAATTCAATGTGGTGGCCAACAAATTTTTCATTAGGGGGTAAAATAAACCAAAGTTTATTTCTATTGCTCTCATCTTTAGCAACTTTTAATTATATAATGGCTACAATAACTGGACCTGGATTTTTACCAAAAAGATGGAAACCTCAGGTAATTTAATAGCATAAAATTTTAATTATTATTTAATTATTAATTTAATAATAATATTAAATGTAAATAATTTAAAAAATTATAAAAAAAATTTTTAAAGTTACAAAAATAAAATACTGATTGTGTCAAAATTTTGAAAGACTGTTAAAGATAAATGTAGCAATACCACGACATCAAATTATCGCTGATTTTTTTATCAAAAAATCTAAATAGAAGAACGTATTTCAACAATTTTGTTTTATATTTAATTTTCTAAACTAACCTTTCATCTTCAAATTTTTAATGTTATATAGCTTTTCCACTGACTTCTTTATGCAAAATAAACGATTTCAAATATAGAATAAAAAAGGTTTATTATTATACCCGTACGAACGTATGTTCGAAGGGTATACTAAATTTGCCTTACCGTTTGTAACGCTAAGAAATAACGGTGTTAGATATAGACTCAAGTGTATGTTTTTGATCAGCGTCAAATTCTGAGTTGATTTTGCTTGTTCTGTCCGTCCGTCCGTCCGTCCGTCCGTCCGTCCGTCCGTCCGTCCGAACGATAACTCAAAAACTAATTGAGCTAAGTTCACCAAATTTTCACAAATGATTTATTGCAGTAAGTGCCAGAACCCTATTTAAATTGGACGTGATCGGGGTACCGGTTCGGGTGGCTGCCATACAACTTCAAAATTTATTGGGCTATATCTCAGAAACTATAAAAGCTATGGTATTGAAATTTCATACAAACGAATATATTAGTAGGGCCAATGTGTCTCATAAAAATCATTGAAATTACTTGGCTCCTTCTGGTACCTGCCATACAACTTCAAAAGTTATTTGACTATATTTCAGAAACTATTAAAGCTATGGTATTGAAATTTTGCACAAACGAATATATTAGTAGGGCCAATGTGTCTCATAAAAATCGTTGAAATTACTTGGCTCCTTCTGGTACCTGCCATACAACTTCAAAAGTTATTTGGCTTTATCTCAGAAACTATAAAAGCTGTGATATTGAGATTTCACACAAGTGAATATATTAGTAGGGCCGATGTGCTTGATGAAATTCGCTAAAATTTCTTGGCTCTTTCTGGTAGCTGCCATACAACTTCAATAGTAGTTTGGCACAACCAGTATTTTGAAAAACACATAGTACTGAAATTTTGCATAAATTAATATAGTAATACGGCAAATTAAAGTCATAGTCTGCCCCAAAGTTAGTTATGGCACATTAGTTATTCGCACATAGGATAACGAATTCGTACGGGTATCACAGAGTTGACAAGGTCAACTCTATTTTTTTCTCGTTTTATTATAAAACCTGCATTCTCTTGTAAATTTTTTTTAAAAGTATTTTTTGTTAAATAATAAAACGGCTTTCTTATATGTTCTATTTAATAATTCATGTTTTGGAAGTCATGGAATACAAAATTCTTTTATTATATATTAATATCTATTTAATTGAAGATATTATTTTTTTTCAACAAAAAAAAACTTCAATTTACGAATTGTTTTAGATTGAAAAAATTAATCATCTTTTTTTTAGGTTAATGAAATAGTTTTTACATTGCTAAATTTGAAATTAGGTACCTACATATTCAGAAGAGTACAAGTGTTAGTAAGTAAAAAGTGTTATAGCTTATATTATAATATAACATAAACTATGACTTGGGATTGAAAGTTATCTAGTAATTGTAATTTATAAAATATAATTTTATTTTTATTAAACAATAATAAATAAATTTTAAATTTTTTTCTTTTCTGATGTATAGAAAATAAAGTTAAAATTTGTTTAATCAATCAATAAAATAATTAAGTACCAAATTACTGTGATTGCATGATTTTTGTTAGGGTTACATTTGCTTAACAAAGTCGCTTTTAATAATACCCAAAGCAAATAAAATTACCATTATGAATTTTCATGCAATCAACTTTATTGAAAGATTTAATATACATGAGTACCTCAACACATAATTTATAACTTGATAATAATTCCTTTCCATAGTTTAATTGTATTTTTATGATCATTGACTTAACTATGTATGTAATATGACGTGGCAACAATACACAAGGAAAATAAGCTCGTATCAAATAAATGGTTTGTAAAATAGCGTTTTTCCCTTAAACAGTTCAATATACTCTTGAAAAATAATCTACATACTTAAATTATTCTTATTAATAGACGAAATTTTTTTCATGCAATATTGTTGCATATTTTTCGGAGAAAAATTTAAAAAAAGTAAATCAGCTATACTCTGTTAGTCGCCTAACTTGAAGTGATAGGGTATTTTTGAAAAATATTTTCGTTTCATTATAGAATTTCAAGTTTCAAATTCGATTTTATTTAGAAAATAACAAAATTTTTGAATAATAACACATCCAAGTGGTCAAGTGATGTGTCAAACAAATTTGGGTGGTGGTGGGAGGAAGACAGAAAAAATGTTTTTCTAATAAAAAAATCTTTATTTTTCTTTATTTTTTAAACGAAAAAATTGATTTGAAAAAATAGAAAAAAACGGGTTTACTGTAACGGATAAATTTACGGTAAAAGAAAAAAATGCTAGTTTTCCGCTCTTGCAGAATTTAAAAAACAAAAATTCTTCTGCAAGAGAAAAAGTTTTCAGCTTAAAATTTAATTACATATAAAATTTCAGGTTTTTATTTTGAATGCTGCAAATAGAACCACAGAAATTTTGCATATAGAACGAAAGGACGGACAAAGCGAAATTAATAATAATATTTTTTCAATTTCTTTGGGAAAGTTATGAAAATGTACGTACTTCGAAATAGAGGAATTATTCAATTATTAAATGCAATTGGATATTATGAGCATAAATAAATGGATTTGTAAACACATAGACATATATATATATATATATATATATATATATATATATACATTCTAAATATTATTTCAATAGAAAAGACATTAGAAGAAAGATTACAATCACGTTATTTAACTTGTGTAACACATTACTGACCCTCATTGGTTGATTTTGTAAAAATATTTTATAAAAATGATATCCTTAAAAAATATTGTTCGAATTTATACATATATAAATATTAATTTTTCCGTTCTATGTTTAGTGAATGACCTTCCTTTATTAAAGAAAATAATAATCAAAGTATTTGTAATTACAATAATGTTCAAAAATGCCTCGGCTATTCAAAAATTTTGATTTTTCTTAACATCCTTTTAATTTATATCGTTTTCCGGTTTTTTTTAATTTAAACAGGAGGCATACGATTTAAAGACCATATAAAAATTATTATTTTTAATATCGAAATAATTAACATGTAAATCATTCTTGAATGAAAACAAAAGAGTAAAAATTATACGCGTGTTGCTAATTTTCCTTTTTGTTTGATTTGACATTTTGGTTCAGGAAAAAAAATGTTTTCCTCACGTTTAAAACAAGCATAAAATATGTTATACTCATGTATTGTATGAGCTCTCTTAGTACAAGAGATATTAAAATATTCATAGTACGAGCAACTCCTTTTTGAAGTACATTGTTTTTTTTTTTTTAATAGTAATATGTAATTAATTGTTATTGCTACAATGCCAACTTAAAATATGTAAATAAATACATTGTGAAGGTTCTTATTATATGTTTCAATAATATAAAACGTACATACATATATATAATAAATGTTCATCAGATTTTTATGAAGAATTATATTTGTTGGATATTTTATTCTTCATTTCGTTTGTAATGCTAAAATATGTACATAATTCTAAGATAACTATCTCGGCCCTAAAGAATAGTCGCATTAATTGGCTTGTTATTCAAAAATATGGAAATTTCCTGCATAAAATGAAAATCTATATTGAAAAACAAAATTCTTTCAATAATATCCCATCACCTCAAGCAATACGACAAACAGAATACGGGTTAAGGTCTGTATCAACGTTGGTAATTTAGATTGAGAAAATTCTATATAATTTTTTTTTCTTATACATATATTATACAAGTTTGTCTATAAAATTTATACATATATGTATGTTTGTGCTTTATTTACAGAAACCAGAAGATGTTGAACATTTGCAGTATTGTACAGAATGTGAAGGTTATAAAGCACCAAGATCACATCATTGCCGTAAATGTAAATACTTCTAGTAGTTTTAGTTTTTTAAATTATATTAATTTTTTACTAATAGCAGTTATAAAATTGTTTTCTCTATTTAATATAGGTGATCGATGTGTTTTAAAAATGGATCATCATTGTCCTTGGATCAATGGTAAATAATGTTTTTTATCGTATATTATTTTTTATCTTAATAAGAGCTACTTTTAATGTTTTACAGGATGCGTTGGATGGTCTAATCATGCGTATTTTACAGCATTTTTAGCATTCGCTGTATTGGGTTCAATTCAAGCGGCTACAATTCTTATATTATCATTTTATCAAGGACTTCATAGAAATTATTATTTATATCATGGTTATCCACCCTCAGCTACTGTTCAATTTAGTGTTACTAGTTTAATATTATGTATATTTAGTTTAGGATTAGCAGTTGGTGTAATTATCGCTGTAGGAATGCTTTTATATTTCCAAGTATGAAAATTATTATTATTTACTGTTTCATATTATTTCAATTTTTATAAAATTTTACAGATTCGTGCTATTCTTTATAATCGTACCGGAATCGAAGATTGGATTTTGCAAAAGGCGGTTTATCTTAGAGCTAACAAAGACGAAGATTTTATTTATCCTTATGATTTAGGAAAATGGAATAACATTCAAGAAGTTATAAGCTGGTCTTGCGCTCCAATTGGAGATGGCATTACGTGGAAAGTCAGAGATGGTTGCGATCAATATACTTTAACGGTAAATAAATCAATAATTTAGTTGAAAAAAAAAATATTCTTATATTTTTTCAAAGCGTGAGCAACTGGCACAAAAAGCTGTAAAACGTTCTATCACAAGGAAATATAGAATTATGCGAAGAGCTACAGGTAGTTGGTTACCATTATTTTCCCAAGGTTTTCGTGTTTGCTGTTCACCGCCTTGGAGTGATGAAAAAAGACTCAAGTTAGAACCTGGCGATACAGTTTTAGTAACACGTTGGCGTAAACATTGGTTGTTTGGAGAAAAATGTATGGCAGATATTTCAAATGGAACTGATGAGAACAAGAAAAAGCATTGGAAAAAATCTGAAATTCGTGGTTGGCTCCCAAGAAGATGTGCTGTTGAGATTATTGAAAATGACGAATATGCATCAGACAATGAAAAAGAAAAGGATTTATAATTGCATTAGCAAACAAAAATTAAGGAATACTTCCATTATTATTTTATTTTCATTAACTTTCTTTTAAATTTTACTTAAATTTTTTAATTTTATAAAATGTTTCTTATTTGTTCATGGTTTTGAAGTACAATGTTAATATTAAGATTTTGGAATTTATTAATGTATAAACGATTACTTAAGCCTTTATATTTCCTATGTCTATTCGAAATTGTGGAACAAGAAAAGAAAACTTAGCAACAAGAACTGATTAAAATCATTTTGTTAATAGCAATTTATTCCAATTTTTTACTAATTGTTCAAAAATATTTAAGGTGATACTAAAAATAGAAATTGTAGATAACTTGATACTGAATAAACTAAATATCTTTTATAATTTTATAGGTTGTTTGTAATTTAATGGTTGTTTTTGATTTGTTTGACTTGTTTTTTTTTCTTGATAAAAATTACTATAGACGAAAAGGCTATAAATGTGAGCAGTTGTTGTTTTGACGTGATGGTGGTACAAATGAGGATTTCTTAAAATCCACAACAGTAAGACAAAAACTTAGATTTGGGCAATGATTTCGTGACCCGCGTTGTTTGATTTTCAAATTTTTGCATTAATATTTAGAAAAATGATTTTTATACATATGCTTTTTGATAATGCAGTTCTAACTTAGTACTAAATGTGTCCTATTGTACCATTTTTGCAGTTAGTTTTATAACTACAACTGTTGTTATGTTAAGATTTTTAAGATATGCGCGTAACAATTCAGTTTAGATTTTATTGCTGCAAAAACTATTCTACTTCAAAAAAATAATGTCGGCTTTACAGGGTTTATTAGAATGACGTTTTTTTAAATTTTGTTATTGCTATTAAAAATTTTAAATTTATTTTTCATTGAACTGAAAATTATAAAATATTTAATTTTGTGGTTTTATTTTTGAAACTTATAAACATAATATTACAATCTTAGAACTTTCAAAAAAAAATGTTGTTATGCTTATGTCAAATTTGCGTTTTTGCATATGTGTCTTTCTGTTGTCTTAGTTATTTAAGGTATAAGTTAGAAATGGGAAAGCATATTTTGTTATCAAAATGGTTTGTATCCACTTCTACAACTCCACGTCTACAATAACGAATTTGAAAAAGTGTACACAAACCTATGAAAGCCGTAGAACTCTACACGAAAGAGAATTTAATTTGATAGACGCGACCACAATTGTGGTTGCAGACAGGATAAAAATATTCACGCGATTATAAAAAATTAAAATTTAACAAGGTTTAGATTCATTCAAGAGAAGGAAGAGTAAATAAATGTGTTAAGCCATTAAGACTTAAATTCTAAATTTAAAATGTAAATTTATTGTCAATCATATTATGTATTGTGATGAAATGAATTTGAATAAATATTTCAGTTTTAATGCTTAATTAATGTGTGTTATAGTTGAAAAGGTATATGCTTTTTTAATAGTGTGGGTGTTTTTGATGGTTGTGTACACTTTTTCAAAATCGTTATTAATTCAGCGTACTAAGTGCATTATGCAAGTTGTAGAAGTGGATACAAACCAACCGTTTTTATCAAATTTTAAATTTTTGATTGTAACGTTATGTGTATTTATTTATATTTTACGCATGATGTCGAAATATTCCGATAAAACACTCAAGCGCTAGTGTTGTAGGAAACAGAAATAGGGAAATTTTGTAGGAAAACTTCATTAGGAAATTTTGACATTTCTGTTTTAGATTTTCGCTTTCATTCTTTTCTTTGTTTATTTGATTTCGTTTATTTTCCTTAGACTTGAATTGATAATGTTTACATTTTATAATTTTATGTTTTGAAAATATAATCGAAACCAAAATGAATACCGATAATTCACCTATGAATTTGAGCCAAAATCAGGCAAAATATTTATTTAGCGAAGGAGCAATCTTAATTATTGCAGGAGTTCCAGTTGGTACTGAATTCGGCATAGGTAAATTTAATATAAATTTTTTCCTTTTACCATACATAGATAAGTTTTGTTACTTTTAGACCTGTGCACATATACAGTTGGAGAAAGATTTAGGGGTATTAAAATGATACCGCCTGGACCACATTATGTATATTGCGCTTCGCAAGGATTGTATGGTGATGCAGCACTTCGCGTTGGTTTCCTTTATTACTTTAAATCTAATGAAATAGTTATACGAGAATGGGATAATCAAAACGAGGAATTACGTCAAAGGCAAATTGAAAACCCTGAACTAGAAAAACGAAGCATAAGAGAAAATTTAAAAGAATTAGATAAGTTTCTGGGTCCGTATGACTATCGATACATTACAAATTGGAAGAATTTGACAGATTGTATTACAGAAAGTGGTATTTTAAAATATGCTCCTAGTTGTGGAGGGAATATAAAAACAAATATAGAACTGCTTTCTTGCCCAGATTCCGACAGACCTAGAGGAAAAACTATTACAAAAGCAGCATCAAAAATGAAATCAAATAGTTCATTTGAAGAAAAGGATTTATTACCAGATCTGAAGCCCATACCTGGAACAATACCAAATTTTGCGAAAATTCCTCTTAGAATTCCTGATGGTTGTAAAGCTTCTGATAAATCTAAACATTATATGGATTGTATTGACGCTGTAAAAAAACTTGTTGATCTTTTTCCGGATTATGAGAGAGTTATTGAAGAGATTCAACTATCTTTTGTAAGTTTCTTAGCTGGGTACTCCGTTGAAGCTTTGGAACATTGGAGAAAACTTCTAAATATGTTATGCAATTCAGAAACTGCGATAATAAAGTATAGGCTCTTATATATGAAATATTTGGAAATTTTGCATTATCAATTACCTCTTCTACCTGAAGAATTAATGGAGCCAACAGAGAAAAATACTGTTTACAAGGATATTAGAAATTTGCTCATTAATGCGACAAAGGGTGGAATAATTCGTAGCGCTGAAAAATTAAGCAATCATTTAGCTAAAACTATGAAATGGAATTTTCATAATTTGTTAGATGAAGATCCAGAAGATTTACCAGTAATCGTTGAAATTTAGAAAATAAATTTTAAAAACATAGTGTACAAATATATGAATTTTTATAATTTACAAATCCCATATATACCTAATTAATTCAGAATTTGAGAAACGAAAAAATTTATGGATTTCTAATGCACAAACACAATGCCAAAAATTTTTACATTTATTATTGAAAATATGACTTTTCATAAAGTAAACTTCTTATCAACAAGTACATACATATTACTTAATGATACATGCTCATACATGCTTTTTTACAAAAATTATTTAAAGACACTTCTATTATTATAAATTTTGCTTAGACATCAAACATTGAAAACTGAAAACACTTTACATTGTGTACTCTAAGGAAAAGTTTCAAAATCATATATAGTTTTAACATAAAATAAGAATATAAATAGAAGACAATCTCATAGATAAAATGGTTTCTGGTCCCTCTCAGCTTTTTCCTCTTTCATTGTATTTACATTTTTTGATGTATGTTCGTATTAAAGAAGAAGAAAAACTTGATTAAATTTTTCTATTTTTCTTTTTTCGCTTCGTCAGATATTTCGTCTTTACTTCCAACTTTACCATCTGATTTGTCAGCATCATTCACATGTATATTAGCTTCTTCTGAATATTTCGTTACAAATTCTTCAAGTTTTTTTTGATTTTGTTCTAAATATCCAGGAAGCCAGAATATAGCTTGAACCATTCTGAAAAATAGTTTAAAATAATAATTTTTTGCAGTTTTAAAAGCGCACTTATAATAAAAAGTTTTTATAATTATAACTGATTTATTTAATTACATTCAATTTAAATTTTTAAGTAAAAAACATATTATTAACCTTATCAAAACATATCCAGAAAACACAAGCAATAGACACGTAGCTGAACTCTTTAACATTACCCAGTAATCTGGGACCACTTGTTCATGTTTCATACTTAATCTTAAAAGTAAATTCTTAATCTTAAAAATTATGTCAAAATACTTTTTATACCGTAAATTTAATGTATGTAGCGAATTTATAAAAAGCTTTAACTTTTATTGCAAAAAAATTTTGCATTGCATTTGCAGTTATTTTGAATTCTTTGTTTTAATAAAAAATACACGGAATTTAAGTATCGACTAAATATATGTAGGTATTTGTTATGGCCAATAATTTATATATTATTGAGTTTAAAGTTTCCACGAGTAACGGCGACAATACTATGATATGACTATGATAATTTTTATGACAATACTATGATAATTTTTTTAAGCTAAAAATACTTAATTCTGATTAAGAGAACAAATAAATATACAGTACGTATCCAGTCACAATGACGGTTATGATGCATAATACGTTTTATTTGTTGGGACGATCGCATTCGCATAATATGAGTACTCATTTTGAGTGTAAATGCAGAAGTTATTTTTGTGTTTAGTAGAGGTCACTGATATGCTATTGTAAATGTACGTTTGTATATTTTTGTATTGTTCTCAATATTATTATAAATAAATATGTACGCAATCTGTTCGGCGCAACTTTCATTTTGATCAGCTAAACCGTATAAAATCGTTGTCTCAACTCAATTTAATATTAAGGCGGATGATCCGCAAAATATTCAACAGATAGGAGAAATTAGTTGCCTATCAATAACATTTTTGCAAAAATTAATTATTAAGCTTATAGTCCTATTCCAGGTTTTCTTATATGTATAATGTAAAAGTAGCTTATATAAAAAGTTTTAATATACCATATACATATATGTATATTTGTGTATATATGTAAATGTTTTAAAATCATAGAAATTTCCATTGCATAAAATTTTTTTTAGATAAATAGTGCAAAAAAATTACATTTTGTACTTTTAACAGAAATTCTCTAATATCTAGGATAATTTTTTCAAATTTATTTCGAAAAATTTTCAAACTTTATGTGTTCCCTTTTAAATTAAATGTATGTTTATCTTTATATTTTATATATATGCATACGATAATATATAAAATGTCCGTTCTCTGTCCGTCCGTTCGTCCGACCGTTCGTCCGACCGTTCGTCGCAAGCTTTTTAATTATTTTTCTAATACTCACTCAATTAACCCTTAAAATCGAGCATTATATTAACACCTCTTTAAATTTTTTTGCTTAATTTCAAAGACGGCATAAATCATTCATCCTAAATTTCTGCAATCCTTGAAATATAGTTTCGTGTATGAGTGAAGGTAATTTTAATAATGTAGGAGGTATTGGTTCTTGGATTGTGTTTAAAAGCAGTATTTTCACTAGTTGAAGGGAGAAGTGCTACCTTACAAAACAATTGTTTGACCTAACTCTATTTAAATTTATGACGATAATTTAGTATAATAACAAAGTAATAATATTAGGGAAGCATTATATCCACCCGTCTTTTAATATAATAAAATTATGATATTTATTGATAATATAGAAAGATAGTAGCAAGTTTGCAGAACATATAATAATAGCTATTATAATATAAGATGTTTTTCGGCAAAAAATATGAAAACTAATTCTATCTCTTTATTTTTGTGAAAACTTCAATTTGAAATTTTTAATCAATATTAAGACAAAATAACGCAGTTTATAAAGTGAAACAAATTTATTGTTATTTTTGCCGCAATTTAACAAATTATTGTTATATTACGGCAGCAAAAACTACAGCACAGGTTCAATATACATAATAATAATATTAGTAAAATCTTTCCAAATAAAGCGTAACAAGAAAAAAAATTTCAACGAACAGAAAATATATTATAAATAAAATGCACTTGCTCTAGCTAACTATATCTACCACTTTGCATTCAAATCCTAGTCCTAGCAAGAGCTGTAAATTCTAGCTAAATGGTGCGGTAGATCGATAAAATTTTTATTACCTAAGCCTGGTTTTTTTCTAGTGTGTTGGGCTAGTTTCTTCAAGTTCTTGTGACTATAAAAAACTCTATGACAGTGGTTATTCTAGTAAAATATTCTAGTAATAATATCTAGATTATCTAGTTAAGTAATAACTAGGATACGACCAGAAGTACTAGTAGAGAAATTTTGCTAGAATTAGTTACTTTTTTCTACCTAGATTGAGATATAGATTTCCAGTGGCTGTAATCTAGTGACTCAATCTAGTTATGACTATACCTGGTTTTTAGTTGAGTTTGGTTTTTAGAGGGTACATCATGTAGATTTTCAACTTCATATGATCGTAAGACGAGGACTTTCAAAAGTCATAGTTTAATTTTTCAGAATTTCTTCTCGTGTGCATCAATAGCAATTTTGGCTTTTGACCTTTCTCTTTCTCTTTAGATGTTTGTATAGTACAGTAATGCAAGTGTGTTTCTATATAGTTTTAATTCGAATTTTAAAATATAGGTATATGATATATTCATAATATGACCACAACGTTGGTGGTTTTTTTTAACTAAAACAAAATGAAAATAAACTTTATTTAGCTATTGTTAGTAAAATTGAATTCACATCAATCATTTATTTTTCCTTTTAAAAAGCTGATTGACACTTGGCATCATGCTTTGAATTTTTTTTGAGGTAATTATAAAAAAAATTTATTATTATGTACGTACATGTATTTGTACAAACAATAAATAGTATATTCATCAAAATATAATAATTCTTTCCTCATAAGTACAATAACAACATTTTTGATTGAAAACTTAATTTTTATAATGGTGGAAGGAAGCATTTAAAATCTTTAACCTTTTCTTAAATTATTCATTTATTTAAATTTTGATAGCAAACGTTATAAGTTTTTGTGTTGTCACTTTTCGATTTGTAAAGTTAAAAAACGCCATAAGGTGATTTTATTTTTTATTATTTTTTACATATTGAACTTATTCACCTACAAAAATAGATTGTAAAAAATTTTTGAAGAAAATAACAGCATTTGTTTTAAAAATAAACATAATTAATAAAAATTAATATTTTTTTTAGAACTATGTATATACCTTCCATACCTTAAAATCTCTATGTTTAAGATTAAATAAAAAAATTTTTGTTAACCATTAAGTACTTTTCTGAAAAAATATAAAAAAAAAATATTTATTTCTTTGTAAAAGAAAATTTTATTAAATATGCAAGGTCGCAATAAGTATAAGATGAAATTCAAACTTTATTATGTACCTCATTATTATGTAAAATGCTTCTGAATATTAAAATCTATATCAGAAATAGTTTGAGTTTTTACACTAACTTGAAACTAGTCATCCTATCTCGAAATTAGTTGCCAATGGGTCTCATTTTCGGCCTACAGAGCTTAGTGTCGTGTTTCGGCCTAGAGTGCTTAGTCACACTCTTCGTTGACTAAAGATCTCAAAATTTATTGAAATACAATTCATTTGCTTCCATTATGAAAGAGAATACATATAGATTTTATTTGTTTTGTGTTTATAAGTTTTTATTATTTTAAAAATTTAGTTCGAAAATTTAACACTTTTGTTTACAAAATATCAATTTTTACTCAAAATATAAAAAAAAAATATAAATGTAGTAACGGTAAATTAAATTAAAAGTTAGGAGAATGATTGGCTAATTGTCAGCTATATAAAAAAAAGGGAAGGCACTTTATTTATATTCGAAATAAACCAAAGTTTATGCATATTTACACATTAAGAAAGCTGCAATTTCGCTCCGTACCACAAATAGACGTTTCGAGGTCTTTAGCTTTAATATGTAGACTTAATAAGTATTGAAGAAAAATAAAAAAAATACATGTTGATTAGTCAGTCTTGACTATTGCATACATTCGAAATGCGGTTCGAAATCAGAATAGAAAATTATTCCCTGTTGAAATCGTTTCAGATTTGCAAGTGAATCATATTAATAATGTTAGTAATTTTTCGGAATCCAATTTACATAAGTAAGTGTAGTTAACAAAGTTTTCATAATACAAATTTACATGTAAGTGCGTGTGTATATATTGTTATTCATATAATGTTTACGTTAAATTTTAACATTTTGTTTTCGTTATTTATTTTTAATATTTATTCTTCCTTTTTTGACAATATAATAGTTTTTCAACCTGTCACAGGTTTATAAACATTTAACTATTTACTGTCATTTTGTTATTAACAATTTATTATCTCAGTGAAAGAAGATTTTTCGAATAGTTCATGATATTACAAAGATAACAATAAAGAAAATATCTCTATACACATACCTATTTACGTACATACATTTATTAGTTTGTTGATATATTTGTATTTGAAGAAAACCATTGTTTTCATAACTAAAAATTTATAATAATAATGGAGTATGAATATCTACAAAAATGTCTATCAAAAGTCACGCTACATCTTGTACATATATTTATAAAATAAATTACTGTCTTTTAAAACAATAGAAAAAAAAAAGTAAAAATTTAGCAAATTGAATATATGTAGTGGCATTAAATGTAAATAAATAAAAAAATCCTATACTTAAATACATATTTATATGTGTATATATTAGTATATTTATACTCATACACAAAATCATTAAAAATTTTAATACAAAAAGGGGGGTGTATATTAATATAAGAATATTTAAATTTTTATAACTTTTAAGGCAAATTTAAAAATGAGTTGTCCAACTTGGTCTTTCATCTTGCCCGGTCAATGTACCTATATATAAAATTGAAAGACCAATGTTTTGGAATATTTTTTTTAAACTTTCATGTTAATCGTTGTACTATACATTCATATAATTATCATATTCATTCTAAAAACATCAGAAATATAAAATATATAAACAAATCATTTAAAGACATTTTTTTAATAAAATCAGTTATGAGGCCTTATGGTGAGATTAAGAAAAAGAAGAACAGCTATTATTATATTTTATGATCATTATATTAATCTGCTTCAGGAGTCCACTGAGTCTTAGTCAGTCTGTATACCCTATCAAAATTTTAATGTTTTTTACCGTATCTAAGTGGCCATATACAATATTTTACTAAATATATATCATTATACCCTTTATATGTTATGCCGAAATAGATATTCAATTTTATTCAACAATTGAATATTTTCTATAATAAACTGGAATT